TTATTTTTGTTATTTGACGCTATTTAGACGAATAAGCAAGTTTTCCAAAGCATAAAATTGAAGATTTCCCGCCAAAATAGAAACTTCCTGATAACATCGGAAATGACGTTCTAACATCATTTTTTTTTATTTGATTCTTCAAAAAATCGTTATAATACTATGTATTAGACTTAAAATATTCGATATGTAAACCAGAAAGTGTTAGCTAGAAATAGACTTATTTATAGAACAACCCCCATTTCTCACTTCAGGGAAAGTTATAAAACAGTTGGGTGCTAATGACTTTGTGAAAGGGAAAAGTTCTACACTTAGAAACTTCGAAAGAAGGGATTTGGCCTGTACGTCCACGGGCCGCGTAAACCTTGATAAGGGGCCGTATGTGGCCCGCGGGCCGCAGGTTGTGCACCCCTGGTTATCGTCTTCGTTCAAGCAAATCGCTCGGACAGGTCGATTTTATTCTCAAGGGGACATCTTCAGCAATAAAGTTTTTGCAATTCTGAATACAACAGACAACAAAAAATTTTAAAAACTCATTCATTTTTTTATTAACTAAACAAACATTTAGTTCAAATCAAGTAACAAACATAACAAAAAGTTATCAAGTATTCAATAAATGTTCGAATTGAGCACCACATCTCTGTTGATTCATTTCTTACTGGACGTTCACGCTCGGGATTGCGTCTTTTGTTAGCCACAGAACCCGTTAACTGAAACTTTTGAACCAACTCCAGAACATATTTTGCATTACAATATTTGTTTGGATAGCATGATTGAATCATTAAGTGGTCAAGCTTAATGTGAACACTACAAAAAAAAACATCTGGAAACAGATAACACATTATCAGCCTTAATTTTATGATCTATTTTTTCCTTGCATATGCGGTCCAGCTTAAAAGGTTTTTCTGTTTGTTAATAGTTTGTGTTACTTTTTTTCCCAAAATAAATGTTTGTTTCGTTAATAAAAAAATGAATGAGTTTTTAAAATTTTTTGTTGTCTGTTGTATTCAGAATCGCAAAAACTTTATTGCAGAAGATGTCCCCCTTGAGAATAAAATCAACTTGTCTGAGCGATTTTCTTGGACAAACATGATAACTCTGCTGTTTCGTTTTCGTTGTCCCACCCTGTATTTTTAGAGTAGGAAAGTTTTTCATTTTGATAATTAAATTTATTCATTGAATATTTAGTTAAAAATATTATTAACTATTTATTTAATATAATATATTCCTTATTAATTTTTTATTAAATTAATAGAAGACTTCATACATTTTTAATACATAGATTATTGTTTTTATTTAATAGGTATATCGTAGTGTATTAATGAGCTCAAAAAAGCGTCGGAATTCTGGTAGTAGTGATAACAGTAAAAATGGATCTGGATCTAACTCTCCAGTTCCAACTGAAAGGGAAGAGAAAGGTATGCAATTTTTATGTTTGTATTTAATAAAAAAACAATATGATTAGATTTTAATTGAGCTATAATATGGCAAATAGTAGTAAAGCTATTACATAATTTAAATTAGAGGTAGACAATTAAGTTGCCATGTTGTATTAAATTTAATAATTAGAAATAAATAAGTTAAATTTATAATATTATAGAATAAAATATCAATCTGGAGCTGAATTTGAACCTGCAACTCTTGTTTACAAAGCAGATGCACAATTAGTAGGATTCATGTCCTGCTTCAGATCAATATAATATTATAGAATAAAATATCAATCTGGAGCAGAATTTTACAGGCCTCGGAGTCACTCACTTTTCTCACTTGTACTCACTTTTCTGAAGTATCCTCACTTTTCTCACTTTTTTGGTCATTTTCACGTGCTTAATTAAGATGTGGGACAAATCAAAAATAATTTTAAAGACAAACTATCTGCCAAATTATCGGACTATCGGAATAGAATTTTCTGGAAGAAAATACGCAGCCCTGAGCGGGACTCAAAATTGCAACTGTTACTCAGTGTTGTTAGGTTATAGGAAACAAAAATTTATTTCACGTATGTAAAAATATCCTTTATGAACTTAAAAAAATCCCTGTCATTACAAATTCAGAAGCCAGTGTTGAGTAAAGTTATGTACTCATGCCATATTTTCATTATTCGCCAAAATCTACCTCTTCCGAATTACATTTCCTTGTACGGAGTTTAAAAATAAGTATTCTAAGCATCCCTGCGTTTTTTGCTGTTTTCTAAGAAAATCCCTCTGTAGGGAAAAAAACACTAGGCGGAGGGATTACCCTCTCAAGCTGACAACACTGCTGCTGCTTTTAAATTCAAAATATATAATTATTAAAATTAACACAAGATAATAGCGTAACCTCCTACCACTAGACAAATTATTTCGTTTCTGACCATTTAGTTATCCTTGTTACAGCCCAATAATTTGGCAGATTATTTGATTTTAATTAACAATCGGGTTATGGAGTTGTTTACAAAAATATTTTTTTACTTGATTTATCTTTAAATAATTTCATAAACTTGAGTTAAATAATGATTTCATAGCATATTGTTAACGTTAAATCACATCTATATCTTCCTAAATGTATGTTTAAATTGATTATAAGTATAATTATTCCATGTAGTAAGTATTATTTTCATAAAATGTGTGATTACTTGTGAAATATCCATTTTTTAATCTTTTTTCTTATGCTGATTATAATTGTGCATTAATTGAGAGACTGAAAAAGTAAACGAAAATGTAAATTCATATTTATATATAAAATTTACCAAATAAATTAAAAGATTCGAAGTGTTGTAAAAAGTACAGCACCTGATTGCTTGTGAGAAAAATTTTCACAAGATGGAAAGCTTGTGAAAATTTTTCTCACAAGGTTAATAACGTTGTAACGATGTCATTTTTATTCATCTGCAGGAAAAAGTTCCTTGTTATTTATGAAATCATTAATAAAATATTTTACTTATATTATTTGAAATATATTTATTTCAGATTTATTATTTTATTTTGAAATCAATATTTACACATCTCAAAGCATTAAAAAATAAACAGTTTCTGATAATGATAAATATTCCAGTATAGCCAAAATAGTGAAATCAGCATTCCCATGAGAGAGAGGGTCAATTTCACTCTGGGCACTTTCTCCATCAGTGTTGGAAAAAATACTTAATTCACTTTTGATTGTTAAGGAGGGACTAAACATGTATGACCAAAGCCCCACCTTGTACCCATTACAAAGGACTACTGAAATTAGCTCCCTCAGCGCATAGAAATTATCAAGAATAATTGGAAAATGAAAAGAAGTTAAAAGAATAAGAGAAACAGAAAAAAAGAGCACAGAAACATTTTGAAGAACAACAAAAGAAAACTGTTCGTAACATGAAGATTATAGAACTGCAGCTGAGTTTAAACCAGAAAAATGTAGAAGAAAAAGAAATACATGCGACAGGCCAAGTTTTGTTAGAAACAACAAACAAAAAAAAACTGGAGAAGGCTATTAACAGCAAGAACGTGAATGAAGTACGAGCAGCAGCACGTGTGATGCTTATTAGTGTTAAATGTTCAAAAGCAAGAGGAAGCGAAAAAGAAGGAATCTGAAAACATCCAGAATAATCTTAATAAAAGAACATCATCTTTCATGACTGATTATTTACAGAAGCCAAAGAGTTTTTAAGTATTCACGGTTTACTGGAAATACAGTAGCCACTTGTTATCAGGAGACAGAAAAAAAACGCGATATAACCGAGTAATAAAAATTCTGGGCTTTTACTAGACAGATTATACATGTTATGGAATCTCTATTCTTTCATCATTAAGTGTTTCTGATATAAAATAAGCTTAGTTTTTCAATCCTGAATTTTATTCGTGGTTATATCGTATTAATTGACGTTTACGTAAACATCGATACCATGAACGCCCATTTAGCATTATTGTTTCTTTAACAATGACATTGAAAGACAAATACTGTCGATATAAAAACAAATCAATTGCGATTTTATTATACAGTACTATATAAATCGCTTATTAGAAATTCGTGTAGTTTATATTTTTCAATAAAAATTATAAATGCTGTAATTGAAAATTTAAAAAAAAAATATTGAATATATAATAGAACATCAAAACTTATAAAATTACAGAGTAAAAATTCTTTAATTAAAAAGCAAAATAAAGTTACTACTGTATAAAAATTTTAGAACTTTCCTTTCAGAATTAAGAAATCTTTTCCTTACACATTATGCTGTGAATTCGAAATTTCACACCTCTGTGTGAATTGAAGCAATACCGTTAATTCACATAAAGATGTGAAATTTCGAATTTACAGAAACTTGTAAATGAGGAGACAGTACTTAAAACTAATAAATAAACAACTTTTTTATTAAAAGGAAACAAATGATAATCGATCCATCCACTTGTTCTGCATATGTAGATCTTGGCGAATTTATTGTTTCACCTTCAGTGGTAGTTTCAAGGACAATAGTGGAAATAAAATACCGTATTTCGTTGCAAATAGAAATTCAGTGACAATTGGTAATTTAAAAGTTATTGACTCAAATGCTTTTAAAATTCGGGGGACCAAAAATGCGCGATATAACGACTGTATTACAGTATATACAGAAATTTTAAAAATGTGTTTAACCATAACACAATAAAAAGAAAATAACTTTTACTGCTATTTTGCTGAGTTTTCCTTCCGTTTTTTCACTTTGTTTTGTCATTATTGCACTCACTTTTTATTCACTTTTTCTGTATTTCTACTCACTTTTCTCACTTTTTCAGAGGGAAAATGACACTCCCAGGCCTGATTTTAACCTGTTTACAAAGCAGATGCACAATTAGTAGGATTTGTGTCCTGCTCCAGATCAATGTTTTCTTCCAGAATATTTTAAATTAATTTATTTATTTCTAATTATTAATTATATTCCAAAATAATTATAAAAAACCGATGGAGTCAGAAATTTTCCTTTTGTTTCCTTCTTACATAAATGTAAAATATGAAAAAGTTATATTTTTCTTTCTATTCTGACTTTTTGGATAATATATAACTTCAATTTTTAAAATGTTAAGCCAATAATAATGACTATTTTTCAATAAATTTCCAAAAAAAAGAGTTAAAAAAGGTATAAAAAAGAAAGAAAATAATTGCAGAGAAAAAAACTTTTATTTACATTACAAACAAGATTCCCAAATGCATTTTGCCAAAAGGTCTCTTCAGTGGGTTTACAACATTGTAAGCCCACTTAAAAGTGGGGACTCTAATTATTAAATTTAATACAAAATGATGGAGTCTACCTTTAATCTAAATTATGTAATATCTTTATAATTAATTAGCCATATTATAGCTCAATTGAAATCTGGCAGTATCATCATTTTATTACTATGTTGGGCTTAATTTTATATTTAATTATTCATGTATTTTAAATTGTCATTGAAATTTAAATTTGACAATGATTACAGAATAAATTGTGTAATTATTAATGTTTATTAATTTTTATAATGACTAAATTTGTAAAGTACTATATTTAGTGTTTTGCTCTACAACGAATTTTTCTTAAAGAGCCGGGACCTAATGGTTACTTTACGTGGGTTCGCGTTTGTTAGTTGCCAGGCCTGGACTTTTCGCGTGCACCAAAATAAAGTAAGGACAAAGTTAGTCACAAAAAAATCTCTCAATAATAAATGTTTAATCAAGTCTAACAAACACTATGTACAAGTTTTATAAACAAACAACAAATTTATTAAATAAAAAATCAAATCACAATCAACCCGACAAACAAGTCTTATTCTAACTTAGAAACTATTCCCCTTCGAATTCCGACAAAACAAAATTCAATCTTAGTTACAAATTCTCTTATAACTATCGATCCTAACCGTCACCTCAATTAATACTCAGAACCTTTTTTCTCCACTCAAGACTCTTTTCCTATCGTCAAAATCGAACCTTCAATTTCCTACTAGGATTTCCTATTCGACACCTTGTTCACTGCTACCAGCAGACCAACGCTTTCGGTTCAGGAGCTCACCTCGTCTGTCTTCACTTGAGTTACTGTACTTATAGTCTGAGGTGACGTCACAGTTCTACTTGAGACACTCCCCTCATTTACATATCTACGCATAACATTCTTGTTTTCTCTTCGTTATCTGGTAGCTTATTTCTCGACAATACTTTGTTAACCTTTTACAACATTTCTTTAACAATTATCGGGATGTTTAGTTAAAAGTTACACAAGTTCCTAAAAAGTCTATTGGGGTGTCCCCCCTTCAGTGCGGACTTACAATTCTGCCGCTCGGGCGTGCACGTGAGTGCGAATTCTAG